GGGGTTGTGGACGGGCAGCTATTTAGTTACTTCTCGCTTTGAATGAAGCCCCGCCCACCTCCCCACACATAGAGTGAGGCTCCCTCATAGTGGGACAGAAATTTAGAGAGAATGTTGATTGCGTGCCCTCAAATTGATTCTCTTTCCATGATTTTCTATGTTGTGAACATATAGAAGTGGTTTGCCACTCCCTTCTAGGGGTGCTACGGTATTGTACAGCTTGCCCACGGCTGCAGAGGCTGGCTCTTCTCTCAGGAGGCACAGTGGAGAATCAAACTCCCGAACTCTGGTTCCACAGACAGTTACCTAAACCACCGAGCTATCCATCCAGTTTTTATAATTGTGTTCCATCAAGTTGATTCCAACTTATGGCAACCCTTTCAAGAGTTTTCTAGATAGAATACCACAAAAGTAGATCATTTCCCCTTTCTTCTGCTGGTGCTCTGGCATATGCAGCTTGCCCAAGGCCACACTCTTTCCAGGAGGCACAGTAGGGAATCTAATTCCAAACCTCTGGCTTTGGAGCTGGATGCCTAAACCACTCAGCTATCCAGCCAGTTTCATAATGTCACCTGTCCATTATGTATACATGCAAGAGGAATGGGAAGGACATGGTTTTCTTATGTGGTGAGTCTCAGTCTTCTAATGCAGATGTAGTTCTATCCAAGGACATTTTTTAAAAAAACTAGCTTGATAGTAAATCATAGAGCTAAGTGCACATCTGCTTCAATTTTTCTCATTGATTATGAACTAGATTGCAACTCTTGGATAAAAAGGTGGAATGGTTATGGGTGAACTGTGATGCAGCATTTTAGAAGCTGCTTACCTTAGAGTTTCCTTGATAGAAGTGGAGAAAAAGAGTAAAAAAATAGCACAACTGAGGAATAAAACTGAGACAAAGCTCAGGGAGCGAGTGACCATGGAAAACTAATAGGAGTTTGCTGGGTGTGGTCCCTAACAAACTTTTTGATTTCTGGATATACTGTAGTTATATATTAGTGGACTTTGTCACCATCCTTCAGGGTGGGCAAGACAAAGGAAAGGGCACTCATAGACAAGCAGAAGAAAGTAAAAAATGGAAGGAAGAGACACTTCAAGGGTGGCCACCTGTAAAGTGTATGCAGTGTTTGTGCCACTTAGTAAATTTACATTTTTGCCTATCCTCCAGGTAGGATCCTTTATTGACTGTTAAATGGAGATCCCTGCAGCTGCCTGGCTGAACAATAGTAACACAGTTGCTATAGCAACTCACTGTACTGGTTGCCAGTGTATTTCTGGGTCCAATCTAAAATGTTGGTGATTATCTTTAAAACCTTAAGTGACTTCTGACCAGGTTCTTTGGAAAACTGACTGCATCCATACAGATCTGCCTGAGTCCCAGGATTAGCCATAAAGGCCTGACTCATATGTCCACAGGTAAAAATCCATTAGGTTGATGAACATGAGAGAGATATGTTTTCTAAGGTGACCCTAGCCTTACAGAATGCTCTTCTCCATATATAGCTCTGTTATAATGCAGTTGTTAACATTTTGGCTCAGTTGTGGTATATATACACTGTTATAATTAACTGCATTTAATACATTATTGTTTTAGATGTTTGTGAACTGCCTTGAAGAGTACTTGCCTTTAAAGGCAAGGTAGAAACATTTTAAACAATGGCAAATAAAACACATAAGTATATTCCTGTATTTGTTGTAACTGTAAGGGTCCACAAACAATCTTTTGAAAACACTTGAAATGCATGTGTAACAGAAACCTTTTCAGATGAAAATGGTATCTGTTATATTCAGTTTTTAAAAACTGAACAAGTACTGTGAACTTTTGAATGACATCACTTAGATACTGCAGTATTCTGCCTTTTCATATGACACATTACAAGAATGAGAAGCAGCTTTTTTCAGAGTGATTAGTTTGGACAATTAAGCTAATGAAATTTAAATCTAGGCTGCTTTTATTTTAATACCTTTCTCTGTTTAGATGGCATCTTTATAGCAGATAAAGAGATAATACTATACCTTGCTTTAAATCATTTTATCTGTGCAGATACCATGAATAGTGACATGTGGGGGCATGAATAGCATCTGACATAATGGTTACTTTTACCCCAGTTTCTGTATGCCTTTAAATATTAAGAATACTCAGAATTCAAGTTGTTCAAGATTTTTTACTGCTCTTCTGCAAGCAGACATATTTTCTGGTTGTTGTGGGTTTTTTGGGCTCATTGGCCATATTCTAAAGGTTGTTCTTCCTAACGTTTCACCAGTCTCTGTGGCCGGCATCTTCAGAGGACAGCACTCTGTGCTCTTTTCTGTGCTCAGTGCTGTCCTCTGAAGATGCCGGCCAAAGAGACTGGTGAAACGTTAGGAAGAACAACCTTCAGAACACGGCCAAAGAGCCCGAAAAACCCACAACAACCATCAGATCCCGGCCATGAAAGCCTTCGCGAATACACAGACATATTTTCTCTTCAATCAGGCTTTCCCTTAGTGATTAGCTGTCTGAGAGGGTTTTTAGATTTTTGTTTTACTTTGTTTACTTTTCATTTACACTCCGTTTTACTTTGTTGCTTTGAATGTGTTTTTAGTGTTGATTTTGTTTACTATTTTTGTGTGGTATTTGAGGAGTCTTTCTAAACATTTGTATCCTTACTGTTTTTAAATATTGTCTTTTATGGTGTTAACTACCTTGGGTACTTTTAAAGGAGAAAGGCAGGGTAAAAATATTTTAAGTAAATAAATAACTAAATGTTTGTCTTTGTGGTTGAGAACAACAGTGTACACATGCAGCAGTTGTAAACTGGTGGCACTGTTGCACAAAAAAAGGGAAAGAACTGGAGCAGTGGGTTGCCACATTTAAGGCTATAAAAGAAGATGAAGAAAGAGTATATCGACAACACTAAAGCAGCAGCAGCTAAGGGATGAAATGGAGATGGTAGAACAACAAGACAAAGCGGACAAGGAGAATGCCGAGGAGAGAACATACACAGTGGGAAAGAGTCACAGTTAGGAGCAAAGCAAGGAAGAGAAGGCACTCTTTACCAGTGGAAACATGAAACTACTTTCAGACTCCTGCAGAGGATTCTGGCAAACAGCATGCAAAGGGAAGACATACAGGAGTCCCCGGCAGAGGGTGTGAGAGAGGCTGAAGCTCAGCCAAACAGAATAACTGAAGAAGAGCAGTTGTAGTAGGAGGCTCCAGGTAGGAGACACTAGACTGGAGGATGGATTATGGATGTGATAGAAAGATTGGCATCACTCATAAAACCCACAAAAACATATCCTATTTTCTCATCTATGTGGGAATAAATGACACAACCAGGAGGAACTGTGAAGAAATAATGTCAGACTTTGAAGCTATGGGCGGGCAACTCAAAGACTTTGGGGTCTAGTCTTCTCACCCATTCTACCAATACTCAGAAGAATAGAAAAGAAAAGGAAAATATTCTGGGTGAACAACTGGCTACAAAGGGGATGCTGACGTAAGGGATTTGGAATTACAGGACATGCTTCCTGGAAGATGGACTGCTGGCAAGTGATGGGGTGTAGTTCACAGGGACTAGGAAGAATATTTTTGGCCACATTATGAAGAACATAATCAGGTGGGCTTTAAATTGAATTGGAATGGGGAGGGAGATGCAAGCTCAGAGGTTTAGATGAAGGCTTATGCACAATAAGAGGAACAGGTTGAGTAGCTATAATGATGCCCTATAATAGTTTTCATAAAAATGTAGGCCAAACCATCTATGCTGACTGTATGGGAAACAAACAAGAAGAACTGGAAATCTTAGTTCAGAAAATATGACTTGATAGGCATAACTGAAACTTGGTGGCATTACTCCCATGACTGGAATACGGCAATTGAAGGATAAAAATTGTTCATAAAAAGACACAAGGAATAGAAAGGGAGGTGGAGTCAAGATACATGTCAAAAATTATATTCCTGCACAGAAATACAGGAAGGTTTATTTATTTATTTAAAATATTTTACGCTGCCTTTCTCCTCAATAAGGACCCAAGGCAGCTCACAAAAATTAAAAGAAAGTATTTAAAAGTTAAAAACAGTAAGTATACAAATATTAAATGAGCTTGGTTGTCCCATAGAGAGCATCTGGATTTTTATAATGGGGGGGGGGAATAAAAAGAACATAGAACTTGGAGCTTACTACCAACCACCCAGTCAAGGAGAAGATGTGGATGAAACCTTTGAAAAGCGAATTGTAAGAATTTCAGATATATGATGTAGTAGTGACGGGAGACTTCAAGTTATCCTAGTATCCCTTGTGAGGCAAATTATGGCCCTTACAAGAAATTCCTGGCTTGTGTTGCTGATAATTTTCTCTTACAGCAAGTGGAGGAACAAATTGGAATAATAGCTATCCTTGACTTCATTCCAAGCAATAGTAATGACTTGGTGATTGGAGTGATGATAAAGGGAACTCTGGAGGGAAAGTGACCAGGTGTAGGTCCCTCTCCGGAAAGGTGTAGCGTCTACACTGAATCTGATTTGGGAAGAGCTTTAGCAGTGATTGGCCAAGTAGATATATGTAAGAGGAAGCAATTTTTCCAGTAACTTGACCTATTTAGCCAAAGTTATTCAGTGGAAACTGCTCCAGTGTAATTGACAAGGAGACACTGGAGTTGAATAAATGTTCACTCATGTTGATGGCATTTGCCTTTTTCAAGTGGTTCTGGCTTTGGAACTTGCTTTTGAAAATAGTCTCCTGTTTATTTATTTATTTTTATTTATTGTATTTATACCCTGCCTATCTAGTCATTGCTAAATATTAAAACCGGTGGTTCTGTGTGTTTATTTGAGACAAAGTAAAAATGTGGTGGTTTTTATCAGGGGAATCCTTTGTGAGGAAGAAGCAAGGAAGAAACTGTTGATACTGTTTCCTGTAGCAATCCTTCCTACATTGCTGGTAGGACAAGGTTTTACCTCTTGCAGACAAATTTGGATCCCATTGTATAACCCCCTCCTTCCTATTTATTATCTTCAGGCTAGAGAAAAAGAAGAGAGACTCCTAAGAAGACAGCTTAATAGAGAAAAACTTGAAGAAAAACGGAAACAGAAAGCTGTGGACAAAACAAAAATTTTGAAAACTGGAAATCAAGGTGCTGAGTTTACAAACAGCAGTTTCTTGCTCTTTTTCGTTTATGATTGAGTTATCTTTTGCGAAAGGGTGAAAACACATTTTGGTAACACTTTGTTCTCATTTCCAACCTGTTTGAGACCATATTATATCATTTTAGGTAAAAATGTTCAGACCTTGGAAGAATCTTCAGCCAGAGGTCATGAACTGAAAGCTAGTGGTGCCAGTATTAAAGATGTGCTCAAAGAACAAAGGTTTTTAGAAAAGAAAGTAGCCTTGAGCCGGAAAAGAAAGAGAGAAGCAAGGTACTAATTCATTTTCTTATGGGGAAACTTGGATTTAATTAATGTTTGATTGTTACAAAGCTTATTTATTTTCACTGTATGGAAATTGTGCACGTGTCTATAACTGAGGAAACACATTGCGTTCAAGGTTGAAAGTGGTATGATCAAGGTGATGCCTTGACTTAGAACCGTTAGGAACCGTCTTGACTTGCAACCAATTTGAGTTGCCCTTGAACTTCAGCTATGATAGACTGGTTGCAACATTTTGCTTGCAACTGGTGCTTTGAGATACAACCAGAAAAAGGCCTCTTTTCCTCATTGTTTCCTCCCTCCTTTCCTGCCCTTTTTTAACCATAGAGGTCATCTTAGGTTAAAAGAAAGTCTCCCCCTAGTGGTTTGACTTGTGACCGGAGCTTTGAGATACAATAAGAAAAAAGACGGGGGGAAAATGCAGGGAATTTAAACTGCTAACCATTGGTTGGCGAAGAGGCTGCTTCTTTGTAGCTCCTTCGCCCCAGCAGTTAGAGAGTGTGCGTTCTGAGAGAGGCTTTGGACTGCCTGGTATTGCTGGAACGGGTTTGTTTGATTCTGGTGGGGGGTATGTTTCTTTGCTTTGATGGGTCTTGCAGTGTAGCAGTTTTAGTCCCTGCTGAAATGTTTTTTTTGTTTTAGACTTCAAACTCTCTCTCCCCCCATTGTCTTCTCTCTCTCTCTCTCTATCATCTCTCTTCTTCATGGTCTCTGTGAATGCACACAAATTGGTTTTGCGCCTGCACAGGAAGTTTCGGAAGTTTTTGGAGCTTAAAAACATGCAACAATGAGACGTTCCTCCATGGAGCGCAAGCTCCGCCCTCCCAACGTCCCCTCAGTTCTTTTTTACCACCGTGTTGGTAGGAATAGAAATGATAGAGTGAAATAGCGAGTATTCTCTAATAAAATTGTTTATATTTTCTAATTGATAATTGTAAATTTAGATTCCAATTACTATTTTTGACATTCCCTTGTTATTACCTCATATTTTTTCTCCCTTTTCAACCGTTTTCTATCCTCCCACGTTTTTTCACACACCCTACAACTGCTGGTTTCCCCTTTCCCCCCACTTTTATGGCCCCTCCAGGACCGTTTAACCAGTGCGTTATCTGCGCAAATAAAATACCACTGACTGATGGGCACAATGAATGCTTATTTTGTTTAGGGGAGCAACATCAAACCTAATTGTGCTCTGAATGAAAAAAAAACTTACAAAACCAGCACTTAAATTAAGGTTACAACACCTGAGATCTTACTTTGGGAGAGATCCTTCAATCCAAGTATGGAAGTGATAGCTTCTCCAACGGCCAAAGAATCACTTTGAGCAGACCCGGCTCACTCCATATCGAGCCCGACAGCTCGCTGGCTGTCGAGCCCAATGCCTATTACGGGTAAACAGAAGGAAACACTGAAACCTTCGGAGTTGAGCTTGACTTCTACCTCTAGAGTTCAGGCTCACTCCAGTGACCCTTCAAAAAAGAAAAGGGATAAAATCAAATCAAAGAAACCAATGAAACCATCAAAATCTACTAGTATTGAACCTCCACAGGTAATGATTCCCTCTTCTGATCTTAGAGGAATCGTCTGAAAAAGCCCCTGTCTCGACATCTGACAGGGATGAACAGACTCTGACATCGGCGCAGGCTGCAGCATCCATAGCTAGCCTATCGCCTAGCATAGGCTATTCAGTGGCTGATGCTCAATCCAGCGCGGCCTCGGCCCATTCAAGCCCTCGTTCATCAGGGCGGGCAGTACTTATTCAACCATTGGGATTGGAGTCTTCTCGACATTCCCCGCACAAACACCAAGAAAAAAGACGGCTCCTCGACATGGAGAAACATATTACTATGCAGAACCACATCAATATTTTGCTAGACCTGATTACAGGCACAGGCAACGCTGTTATGACCCATATTATCTGGAAATGTTTGGTGACCAAATTTATTATGACGCACCTAGACAAGTTCGGTATGCCTTTCCATCATGGCACTCACCATCCATGTCACCATCTCCATCAAGACATTGACAACAATCAGTCTACACATATCCAGCACCGACTTACCAACCGACGAGGCCTGCACTTAAAAGATTCACTCCGATACCAATGAAGAGAACTAAACAATCAAAACAACATACCTTTCTACATGTGTCCACGGCCTATGCAGGTCCTTTGCCACCCACCGACACTGAAATACGGTCGATACCGGCCCGTTCATCCTGTGATATGATACCATTGACATCAACCTCCAGATCACACCGCTCACCCTCTATATCATCAACATCATCTCAGGACTCGATCTCCACAATATCTTAAGAATCACCATTGAACCTTCCTACCCTCCATCACCGTCAGAGGATTTTACTTCCCTGCTAATCCTCAGAATAGCTAAATCTTTACAATTGAACATTCAAGAACCACCTGCTCAGAAAAAAGATCTGGTCTTTGATGACCTAAATCAAGACAAGACTCTACCACTTAGTTTAAGCTTTATACCAGCTATGTTCAAACTTATCAAAGAGTCATGGGACAAACCCCCTTCATCTCTTCAAATTTCACACTGTGACAAAAATCATTATAAAACAGATGGATAAGATACAGTGTTTCTCCTCAAACACCCAATGCTGAACTCCATCATTGTCGAATCAACACAATACAGAGCCCGAAATAAGTCATCTGTTGCACCAACCAATAGAGAAGGTCGTAAACTTTGATATCCTCGGTAGAAGGCTTTATTCACTCACTTCCTTCTTAATGAGGGTAGCCAACTACCAGGCAGCCATGGGCGCCTACCAGCGACAACTATGGGATAAAATCTTGCCCACTCTTCAAGTGGCACCAGAACTGAAATACTCAACGCGTATACTGAAGCATCTAGATTGGCAAAGCAACAAAGAATAGCTGCAAGACATACAGCAGATTCAGCGTCTAAGGCAATGGCTACTTCCATTGCCCTTAGAAGACATGCATGGTTGTGCTCCACAAACATCTTAGACGACACCAAGACTCGAATAGAAGACGTCCCTCTCGATGCCATCAGTCTCTTTAATTCTAAAACAGATGAACTAATGGAAAGCATTCATAAAATCAGAAAAACAGCACATTCTTACACATCTCAACAACCTTACCGTTATCAAAGAACACAGTATCGCAAACAACCTTACTACCAACATCAGTACTTATGATATCAACAATCATACTGATCCTTTCGCTCACAAGCTCGGGGAAGATCTTATCCACCAGCATCAACATCTGCAGCTCAGCCCTTTCGACCCCAACAATCACAAAACCAACGACAACCCTTCTGACAACAGCAGAAAAAGGGTAAGCAGTACTCATATTTACCATGTGTATTCCGAACCAGACTTCATCCTTTCATTTCGGCATGGAAGAAAATTACTACCAATAATTGGGTCTTATCCATCATTCAAAATTGTTATTTTATTGAATTCTCCCGTACCCCACCCTCTGGCATCATTCAGACCATCCCATACTCAATGGCCCTTCATGAAGAGATATGCTCACTTTTACAAAAACAAGCCATACTCATAGATTCATCCACTCCATCACAAATTGCTTTGGTTCAGATTCGACAAAGTAGCATACCATTTTTGTTCCCTTCGAACTCTCCACGGCACCAAGAACATTTACCAAATGCATGGCACCAATCGCAGCCTATCTCCAACTCCAGAGCATCCCTATTTTTCTGTATATCGACGACTGGTTGATAGTCGCTCCTTCCTACCCCGATGCACTCAGAGCTACAGAACTAACCCTCAACACCCTGCACATCTTGGGCCTCAAGGTAAACACTACCAAATATGATCTGGAACCTGCACAAACTGCCACCTACATCGGCGCCTACTTCGACTCTCTTCTGGCCAGAGCATTCTGACCGCAAGAGAGGATCACCAAATTAAAACAAGCCATTCGGCCATTCTGTCCTTTAGCATCGGTATCGGCACACTGAGTCGAGCATCTGTGTGGTTCCTGTAACTATTTCACCCCATGGCAGATCCTCAAAATGTCTTGCAGTGACACCAGAACTTGAAAGCCAACTCACCTGGTTGACATTCCTCCCTCATTTGACAGTAGGCAGACCTTCCATCCTCTGCAATTATCCATACAGGTTACTACCAATGCCAGCCCATTGGGATGTGGAGCTCACTGTTGAAAATGCAGAATACACGGCCTATGGACAAAAAGAGAACAGTCATTATACATCAAACATTTGGAACTTCTAGCAATCATCAAAGCCTTTCACACTTTCCTACCACTCATTGCAGGACAAGCGTGACAGATAGCCACTGTGGCGGAATGCCCATGTCACTCCTGTTTATCATAGCTGAAGCTCAAGGGCAGGAGCCTATGAGAAGACAGGAGGAGCAGAGTCAAAGGGACAGTTAGACAGAGGGAAGCACTTAGAGAGGAGAATTGAAGAGTCAAGAAGGGAGAATTGGAAAGTTGGAGAGTTTTAAAGAGAATGTGAAGGAAAAAAAGGAGTAGTAAAGCTAAATAGATAGTCAGAGAATATTAATGAGTTGGTTAATGTGAATAAGTAAATACAACACCTGAATAAGCAAACATGTAATCAAATACAGTGGTGCCTCGCATAATGAGCGCACCATTTAACGATAAATCCACATAGCGATGTGGATTTTGCGATCGAAAAACCGATCATATTGCGATGTTTGAATAGGGTAAACATCACATTGGGATGATCAGTAAGCGTTTCGCTTACCGATCTTCGCATTGCGATGTTTTCAAACAGCTGATCGGCGGTTCCAAAATGGCCACCGGAAGAAGAAAATGGCTGCCCGCGGCGTTTTCGCGCCAATTCCTCGCTTACCGAGGCGGCGAAAATGGCAGCTGGATTGAGGATTTCCACTTAGCAGTGAGTTTTGTCCCCATAGGAACGCATTAAACGGAGTTTAATGCGTTCCTATGGGGGTTTTTTGCCCTGTATAGCGACGTTTCTGGATAGCGATGATTT